TCCGCCTTGCATCAGATTACCTTCCTCCCCGAAATTCAGTCCCCCGATTCTATCCCAACAGTCGTACAAGATTCTCATTCCCATTTGATCGATTCGTTCCTCCAACGGGTACAAGCCAAGATCACCCACATAGGGTTTGGTCATCATGGTCAAATATGGAGGAAATTGACAACACCAATGGAAGAAGGAGACACCGACGTAGAAATCGACCCAAGAGAAGAGGTAGAAAGAAGAACCAGACCCCAAATCATCCTGTCTCTAATCAAGCAATTCCATTCGTGCGAGACACTGGAGATCTGGGGCCAGGAAAACGTTGAATATATGCTTCACATTTTAGACATTAAAGTGCCGAAGAAGGGGGCAGCTTTGGAGACTACTCCCAAAACAAAGGCCATTCCATGGCCTGAACTCGAAACCTCTCCTTCAAAAGCAAACCCCAAACTACATTTGTTACCAGAACAGCCTTTGCACGCGGAGCCTATGTCTATGGGCACAGATGTCACTAATCTCCCACACGGGAGAGACAGACTTTCGAAGGAGAGATCTACAAAGCGTAACTCGAGAGCCGATTCGTGGCTCGCCGTCTTTTCGGGTGGGGGATCTCCAGCAAACGGGAAGTCAAATAAGTCGCCATCTCCAGCTCCTTCTCAAAAGAATGAAGGGAAGAAGTGGGTCAAGGACATCATTGCCTCAGTCACGTCATCTGGTCAGCGGCCTGCTGCCCGCGTGCGTACACCAGAACACACGCCAAGAATTGCGGCAAAGGATTTAGTCAGCGACCCAGCTCCTGCTGCAGCAACAGTCAACCATCACGGCCGTATCGTCTCGGAAAACATGTCAAACCCGTCCGTGGTGACGGATACTTCTGCAAATAATCGCGCTTCTGTATCCATTACATCCACCCCCGAACGTATCTCTACCAGCATTCCACCTTCGCGTTCTCCTCTCCATGCCAACAATGAGCAAATACTAACCTTCCTTGAACGAGTAATTATACACGATGCCGCCCCGGACGACCTGAAGTTGAGAGATTGCTTCAATCACTACGGGATCAGGGTCGACGTCCATAGATAAACAACGGACCGATATAACGATTTACGAAATGAAAGCCTATTGGGCTTGGTGGACTTTTGGTTTTGGCCTGTAGACAACACCGTCGTGTGCTTTTTTCCTGCCATCGAGTTTAAATATCTTTAATCAGGCTTTTCACTTATTATTGTATCGAGCAGAGACTTTAATCTACTGTTTTCTGGTTTCTTTGATTAAGTCTATGTTGAATTGACCGCTGATTACCAAGAAAGACAAGAACAAAACAAACACTAGTAAGACAGGAGGTGGAGAGCGTCATTAATAATACAAGATATAATTTATGCGAATGATTTCACTACGTCCCCGTTCTCGCTGGGAGCTGCCGACTGTGGCCTCGTCGCGAGCGGTGATTCGTCCGAAACCTCAGAGAGAGGTGCGCTGGTCTGTTTGACTTGAACAAGAACAGTCGGCACCGAACCCTCTAGCGCATTTTCTATATCTCGAACCAAGTCCTCGGGATCTTCGATACCAACAGAGATACGGATGAGATCGGGACCGATACCCAAGATGGCACGCTCGGCAGGGGGAATGGCGCCGTGGGTCATCTTCTCTGGGACTTCGACCAGACTTTCGACACCACCCAAACTCTCTGCGAGGGTGAAGAGGTGAAGCTTGGAGAGGAATCGGTTGGTCTCGGCCTCGCCACCGCTGATGCGGAAGCTAATCATACCGCCAAATGGAATACCGTCAATCTCCGGATCATAGCCCCGGCCGGCACCTTCCAGTCCTAATCCAGGAACGGTGCTTCCTCGTAGACTATCTATCCAGACGCGTGCCTGGGGGGATAGGTTGGACTTCCAAGCAGTGTTGAAGCGTGGGTGCGTGCGTAGACCAGGATAAGTGACATCCTTGACCAGTCCTCGCTCCTTTGCCCTCTCGAGAGCCTTTGCGACGCTCAGAGCGCCGAGACCGTGGGCGCGCATGCG